TGGACAATTTGGGAAGAGGAGATACGATTATTCGAGCCTTGCGGTTTATTCTTATAGTTATAAATTGTCCACAATTATAAAAACGAGCCGCAAGGCTCGAATAATCGTATCTCCTCTTCCCAAATTATCCATTTTAGTGGACAATCTGAGCGTCAGTAAGGGAGACATTACCGTATTACTTATCGCTAGAGTCAATATCGAATAATGTTCATTCGAGACATGCAACACAGAAAATCTATTGTAATAAGAAATTAGAAAAGTGACTGCAAACAATAACTAAAAATAGAGAAAGTGAATATTTAATTGAGCAAATCGATGGCGAGAAATCATTCTATCGTTCTTAATCCGCAAAGGAACGAATCGCGCGTCTCGTCGGTTCTAACCAAGCACCAACAATCGCGTAAAAGTGAGAAAGGAGGATTCGTTCGGTCGGCAGGGATTGATCAGTTGTCGATTTTTTGGTGCAGCATCGGTTGGATACGCGGAACGATCCGGATAGGAGTCGGCGCGATTGATATGCGAGTGAAAAGTTCACGTTATTGCGAAGGATTAGCAAAGGTGGTCGAAGAGGATGACGATGAACGCTGGTCGGAAACTCATCAGCCAGACGTCGGTGGACAGCGAAAGTAACGAGCGTGTCAGCACAGACCGCGTGGGTAGTTTTCCTTTTCATGCTTACACGAATCCGAACCGTCTGAACGTGCACCGTGTGCACAGTGTTTGTTGTTACACTGCCGCCACAGTTTTTCCCTCCTCGCACGTACCCCGTTTTATTAGTTATTCCACGCGAATGCAGAATACGCTGGCTGGCCCGAGTATTCTACGCTTTCCGAACCGAGGCCTCCCACCCAGACCACTGACTAGTTAATATACGACTCGAAATCTATGTTTGCGCTTCCACCCACCACACTTTCTACATCCGCGAAATTTCGTTTTATCAGTTGTTTCCCGGAAAATATACGGGGGATTTAGTCGAAAGGTGAAGGTTGTTGCCAAACGATTTGCACCGCTGCATTGCAATGGATTGCGCTGGATCGGGCTCGGTCTTTCTGGTAGAACGGGTTGGACCGTAAAATCAATCACGGTTTGTCGTTTCTTTTTTTTCTTGTTTTTTTTTTCTTTCTTTTAACTATCGAACAGCAATCGGTACGGTTGCGCACGTGTCGAACGATCCGGCGATTTTTAGCTGTAACGAAATTTCTTTTATGCATGCGGCGGAACGAAACTCTGCACAAAAGCTTTCGCGAGCTCTTAACCCTGGAGCGGTTCTGTTCGACCCCGTTTGCTATTTTCCACGTTTACTGGTTTACAAGATTGTTACGGTTGAGCGGCGAAACGTTTGTGTCACTCTCTATTAGAAGTGTCGCAATCGACCAGAATGTAGAATCCTTTCGTGCGGTTTCTTTACCTCCGACATTCTCTCCACGTAAATGTCGTTTTTCCTGATAAAATAGACAAATCGTGACAACGTGAGATAGCAAGCGACGTTGGTAACAGCTCTGGAATACTTCTCATGCTTAAAATTGAAACGACGATGACCTCAGAATTAGTTGTGTCGCAATAAACTCGAGAGTTCTCAACTAGATCGATAAACATTTGACGACTGTTCCAGGGTTCGCAACAGATCAAAATTTATTGTCATTAATACGTTCAGTTGTATTCGACCGATCATTTGTATTTGACTTTACCTTTCAATAGCGATTCATATTTCTCGGTACAGTAATATCTCTCTAATTGACGCTCAGGTTGTCCGCATAAAATGGACAATTTTGGAAGAGGAGATGCGATTATTCGAGCCTTGCGGTTCGTTTTCGTAATTACGAATTATCAACAACTATAAAAACGAGCTGCAAGGCTCGAATAATCGTGTCTCCTGTTTCAAAATTGTCCATTTTTGTGCACAATCTTGGCGTCAATTAGGGAGACATTACTGTACATGTTCACTCGATACAGTATATTCTACAAAATTGTCCCTCAGCTTGTACGTAAAAATAGATAATTCAAGAAGGCTTCGAGCCTTGTGTTGACAATCCTCTTCTATTCTATCTATTCTTCTATCTTCCTCTATTTCCTCTTCCCAAATTGGCTATCTTCATTTGAGCCGTTTATTTTGAAAGTGGCATAAGTCACGTTTTCAAAAAAATCGAGTTAATGGTAACACTAATTACAATTGAACGGTATCTTTTCACTTAAAAAGAAAAGAAGTGACTTATGCCACTTTCAACATAAGCGGCTCATTTGTAAGTTGAGGGACAATTGAAGAGAATTTACTGTAATTCCTACATTCAATGTACCATACTGTTTCATCCAATGCGAACTGCACATTACATCCATGCTTGTTTCAGCAGAGACTCCCTCGGGTCAATTTCGTTTGCCTTTAACTGTGCTCTTATAAATGTTCGTAACGACAAACCTAATCTGTTAACAAGACACCACATTTTTCCAGGAAATTGTACGAATTGATTTCACGATTAGCGCTGTTGACCTTTGAGATCGTAAGCAATGCACTTTTAGAAAATGTATTCGGAATAAAACACGCTGGTACGTTATTAGCAGTTTACAGCGCGTTGCAATAATTCTACTAAGAGGTTCAAGGCTTTTATAATACATATAAGCATCAGATTGCTGATTCTAATTATATTAGATTCGAAATTAAATTATGGAGACCCTCTGGATATTTTGACTTGCTTCGACTGTCTATCAAAATGAACTTACGAATAATTCGAACTTAATAAGTTTATTCCATAAATGATTTGCCACCGGAAACAAGTGAAGTAATTTACACAGGCTCTTTCGACTAATACACCGCCGCGTGCATTCATCGACCGATTGATTGCAAAAATATATGCGTATGCACGGGGATGCAGCAACGATTATGTCATAATCCCCGATTACAATGATGCAGTCGGGTATCAGGACGTAAGATTATCCGTCGTGTCTTACACGTTGCGTAATAGAAACAGTTTTTCTCGACTGCATAATACCACGCATAACACTACGCTAGTTAGCGTTATGACAATGACACGTGACCGAGTACACGTGTTCACGCGATACGCGGTCACATGTGATCTTTATCATGAGCCAACTCGATCAGCATGTAACGAGCTCATCGTTCCTAGAACCACTCTCGGAACACAGAGATTTAGCTACTGAAAATTAGTGTGTCGTTGACCGTCTCTACGCATGTTTACACAGATCGGTATTTCTTGGAAGCCAAGCTGCAGGCACGGTAATGAAATAGGATTTAATTAGTATAGACAAAGAACTTCTACCCGTAGGAAACGAAAACAGAATCTTGTGTTTATGTAATTGCTCGTTATTTCTTTTAACACCTGCCGACACTTTCATTCGAGCTTTTATTATTGCGATAGAGAGACAGAAAGAAAACGCATAAATGTTTGTAACGCGGATGTATTGCATTTATGTTTCAGGATACCAGAACTCACGTAGTCGTGGAACTTTATGATACCGAACGATCGTACGTGGAGGCGCTACAAATACTAGTCAATGTAAGTACATTTTAATGAACTTTAAAAGTGAATTTCACCGCGCAAAATTATCAAATACTTTCACTTTTTACCAACGTAAAAAAGACCAAGGGAATATCAGATATCGAAAATTGAGATTGGAACTTCACCAATTTCTATGCAACGTTGATACGTTTTAAACAATTTCCTTGACGGAAAGCAGTCTCTAACGAACAATATTACATTTAGCTTTCCATCGCATAGCGCGAAAAGCGTGGGACTTATTTACAAATTCTGTAGCTAAAAATAGTTGGCCATTGTGTGTGCGGCATACAACAGTAAATAAAATAGTTGAGAGCAGACTGGTGGAAACTTTTACTGAAAAAGTTGCAGCAACAGTTATCGTTCATACTTGTTTTCATCCTCGACAATTGGACAGAAATTGGAAAAAGTTGCTCCAAGGCTTACATCGATGTTACATGTACACAAAACGTTGTGGAAATCGTTCTCTAGTACCACAATGTGTTTCCAATAATCAGAAAGCGATTCGATTCTGGTAGAAATCAAGCGAATTACGTAGAATAAAATTTTGTGCAAATTCGTATTTTCAACAATTATTTTGTAAAATGTAGAATATGGTTTAGTTGACTAGAAATGTTCTCGTGGTGAATGCAAAACGGAGAAATAATTAATATTTACAAACGAGTAGATCAGATTGCTCGTGTAGATTCAACCCTTTTCGAATTGCACCACCGTAGCGGAATCACCCTGTATGTAAAATTCGAAGATTTCTCTGATCAGAATTGTCGAAACAGGAGCGATTGCCGTGCTACCTTTTCACTTATTTTCCCTTCCAGCAGAGTATCGACTGAAACGTGTTTCACGAAAGTTCCTAGAACATTGAAGCCCCGACCTTGTTCCTCGTAAACAAGCCCGTTGCCCGTTTATTTACTTCGAACAAGGATTCCACTTCAATGATCTACTTGTCGGGCAATTTCTAGCTAAGTTATGCAGCCTCGTATCTCTCCCGGTTGTTGTTTTCATTAAATATGCCGCGCGGATTACGAGCGCGGTGTGGTAAATTCTCGAAACTCTTCCGGCAATAGGTTCGACCAATCATAATAAGATAATATTACTTCACGTTACAAAATTAGCTCATTCCCTTCCGATGCTTCCCATTCTATCGAAACTGCTCTTCGGTCAATTTAATGTAACCCTTTGTGCAGCAAATTCTCCCGAAAATTGTTCACCAGCTTGTAAACAAAAATGGTTAATTTGGGAAGAGAAGATACTATTATGCAAACTTCGCGGCTCGATTTTATAGTCGCCGATTTTTAACAACTACAGAAACGAGGCGCAAGACTCGAACAATCGTATCTCATCTTCTCAAATTTTACATTTTCGTTTACAAGCTGAGGGACAATTGAAGAGAATTTACTGTAATTCCTGCACACTACATCCATGATTGTTTCAGCAGAGTCTCCCTCGGGTCAATTTCGTTTGCCTTTAACTGTGCTCTTATAAATGTTTTTTAACGACAAATCTAATCTGCTAACAAGCTACTACATTTTTCGAGGAAATTGTACGAATTGATTTCACGATTAGCGCCGTTGAATTTGAGATTGTAAGCAGTGTACTTTTAGAAAAGACAATTTGGAAAGAGAATATATTATTATTCAAACTTCGCGGCTCGTTTTTATAGTCGTTGATTGTTAACAATTATAAAAACGAGGCGCAAGACTCGAATAATCGTATCTCATCTTCTCAAATTCTCCATTTTCGTTGACAAATTGTAGAACAATTAGGGAGAATTTACCGTACTTGTTTATGCCTCTCAGAGAGCATAATGCTACCCCCGATACTACCGATAATTATGACACTAAAATCTGTATCAATGCGGTAAATGCCAAATCCTACGCAAATGGAGTATACCGCAGCCGACTCTCTTACAACGCAGCAACTCAAGATCATGGTTTGACACGACACGGTGTAAAAAATACGGTCATCTTCTTGTAATGTTACATTCTAGCGGCGTTAATCGATCTTAATAATTTCCAAATAACAAAACTTATCAATCTTGAATTATAACAAGGAACAGTTTGCATTATTTCTGCATTTAACACGATTTCTATACAATACGTAACAAATCAGACGTGTTACAGGATGATCCGCTGTATTCGAATAACATTTCTATCATTTGACAAGTCGCCGGTAGAAGATGCGAGAAAATGCTAGCGTGAGAAGAGTGAAAAAAAAATCGACGCCGGATAGGTAACTCATTGGAAATAGTTACAAGCAATTACATTGGCCTCGCGATTACCGGGCGAGAAATGTAAAAGCATTATGCGCAACATGATAGCAACAAAACCCTCCTGTCGAAGGAGAAAACACTTTTCCTCGCCGTTTGACATTTCAAGAAGCTGATCTCGAACGCGTCTCCGCTTTCAACGCGCTCTGCTTGTGTCAAGAGAGACGGCTAGCATCCCCCAAACCCCCTCGCGTCCGATCGATAAATAATGCCTGCAATTAGTTCTTCGTAATTACCGTGCCGCCTCTGCGATTCGATATGATCGAGGAAGGACGATTCTTCATAAACACCGTTGGAAATCGACGCGGTAAATAGGTCGCAACCTTCGCGCGCGGCGCGTGTTCTGAATTTAATGGCTGCGTCCCGCGACGGCTATCGATATATCGGTCGCGGCTCTCGTAAACGATTTTGCGAACGCGTGTCTGCGTTTTCAATGGGGTTGATTGGAATCCTTTAACCGATTTGCTTGGCTTTTATGAAACCCTGCCTCGAAGAATAATTGGAGGAGATTGGAGTTTAGAGCAGCGGGTGGCGAATGTAGCGTTGCCGATAACGGCGTCCGACAGCCAAGCGGGATTTGTAATTTTTGGTGAACCGGCAGTTCTTATAGATCCTCGTGGGAATCTAAATCTGTTATTTCGTAGAATCTGTTGTCTTCTTCGGATTCGGATTCTTTAAAATTCTCACGTACACTTCTCCGATGAATCGATTTTGTAAAGAAGACACAGAATTTCAATTTTGAAGATGCCTTGGACTTTCGACGGTCGTGGTGAAACAGTTGCAACTTGCGTGATAGTATTCTGTGAACTCTTCTGAATATGCCGAAATGATGGTTTAAATGACAGACACCTAGAAATGTGTCTATTTTAAAATACACGGATAACGTAATGAGAATTAATTTTGTCTATAAAACGATATGAAAATGATATTAGCCAATCGTCGTAAGAAATTATTTTTCAAACTATAACATGTAAAATCCCATTTCGAGGGAGGATAAAAAATATATGGCATTTCAGAAATACCTGCAACCACTGAAGAGTTCCGAAAATGCCGGTTTGGTGGATGCAGCGACAGTGGACGAAATCTTTTACCAGGTGAGTCGATTTCTTATTAATTTACCACATAAAATCTATTTATGACATGCACGATATAATTGCACAGTTTCATTTTGCATCATTTTGCCGAAACAAACAATTTACAGCTGTTTTCAGAGATCTATTGATTATTGTGGAAATTAATAAAAACTTAAAATACTTTCAATTTTGTTTCTTATACCGAGATCACATTTATTGGTACAAAAGGGGAGCTTAAATGATTCGCTAACATTTTGATGAACGTGAACAGAGCTTGGAAATGTTTAATAACAAAACGCGAGCTGCGGGTAAAACTGTTTTATTTTTGCGAAGATTACCGTGCGCCATATTCTAAGGGCTGACCATGGTCGGATTTCTCTACTTGCCTGAAATTCCATTCGTGCAGTGTGCTGGAATTTTCGCGTCCACAGATTGAAAGCAGTATGAAAGCCCAATCTCAGATGATAGATTCCTCGAGCTGAATTTACTACATTCATATTAATTTCTGACGAGTGCTTCCTCAATTCGATGTTGAAGCTGCAATTACAATATGAAGATAAAAGCAATTTGAATATAATAATATAATATAAATTATAATTATAATAATATAATATAAAAATTATTAAATATTATTAAATATCTTCAATTATATTTTTGTGCGTACAAAATACTATTTTACAACGCGAATGATAATACACTGAAAATTCGTTGAAACGGTTTTAACATTATTTCGATAAAAATAGCACGGGATATCGTAAGGATAAAACAAATATTATAGAGGAAACATGTCTTTTTTCTATTTATTTAGGGAAAAATTGTTGCATTCCATTTTTTAAAAAAACGGAGAATTATTCGTTTCAGGATGAGATATTTGTTAGGAAACTAGTATTTTGCAAGTCATTTCGTGGAAATTAAACTGGAATATCAAGAAGAAAGCACCGACTCGTTTAGCACGAAACGTTGTTTATCCGGTCTATTATTTTATGCACAATAGTTCCTTATCAAAGGGAGCTATAGCACTGTTAAATGATCGTATTCACGAGTTTTAGGTTCCCTCTATCCTCAATCATCACGAAGTATTTCTGGAGGAACTGCGCAAAAGGCTCGATACTTGGGAACTTAAACAGACAATTGGCGATGTCTTTCTCGATGCGGTATGTTTTTTCGTATCTGTACACAGTCGACGACAGTCGATCATTATCGAATGTAATCCGATAAAGAGAATTCAGCGTTTGTATGTGCCAACCTTTTTTACGAAATTCGAATTTCTTAAATGTCCTCGCAAGATTAAAAATAACGTAAACGCAGCGTTAAATATCGAGAACATTTGCTGCATTTAACACACGTTATTCAGATATGTTAGAAGCGCATCACGCCAACAATTTAATAATTAATTAATTTGCATTTGAACAACATAATTGAATACTATTTTCGAAATTGTATTTTTTCGAATTAGTTGGTATAGTTGTAGTTGTATGCGGGTACGTTGACAGACGTAATAGATCGTGACATTTTCTTTACAGTTCACGAAGCCAGTCGTCCTGGACACGTACACCCTTTTCCTTGATAATTGGAAGTCCGCGAGGAAGGCGATAAAGACGGCTTGTCAGGCGAAACCGGCTTTCGCACGATTCCTCGAGGTACGCAGAGGATCTATTCCCTTTCATTTTCAATATTTCAATTAGCAGTTTTGTTTCTCTGTACTCCGGTGCCAATTCGATCGCGAATTTCTCTAGCATATTCAGCGAAAACAAGAAATCACATTCACGTTTTTCTCAGTTCTCTAGTTTCTATAAAAAAAAAAATCCAGCAGGCTGAAAAAGAATTGGGTTACACATTGCACGTACATACGTACATGCATATGTGTGTATGTACGTGTATGTATGTATGTGTGTGTGTGTGGAACGTTCTCGTGTTTGCGCACCATAACGGCATAGCAAATCAATAGATTCCGAGAGTATATATATAATTAATAAAAGTAAGAGGAACGTTCTATAAATAAATAAAAATAATAAACTCTTGCTCAGACGCATTCATACGACGGCGTGCCAATTTGTTACAAACACGTTGATGTTCGTCAAGTCGTATTTAAAAATACAAAGAAAAGTCAAAGCAAACAATTTTGTTATTCTCAGGGCTCGCGATGGGCCAGAATATACGATGCGTAAAGTTTTGTTCGGGGTGCATATTCGTACGATTTCTGCCAGCTTAGTAAAACGATGGGAGGACTCGTCAAATTAAGCCTAGAAAGTTGATATTCTCGATTGTTGCATCGTAGACAATGGAACGAGAGCACAAGGGAAAACTCGGACTAGATCAGTTGCTGATCATGCCGGTGCAGAAGATACCCCGTTACGAGCTACTCATCCAAAGATTGTTGAAGCACACCGATGCGTCGCATCCCGATTTCGAATTACTGCAAGCCGCTCAAAAGGAGGTGCACGAGTTAGTCGTGAAGATCAATTGCACGGAAAGACAGTCCCTCGAGTGGCAGCAACAGCAAACTACTTTGCGGGAAGTTCAAGCCCTCGTCGAAGGTCTCGTCGGCATCGTTACTAACGACAGGTAAACTTCTTCGAGTTATTACGCGTTTACGTAATATACGGGGTGGTCGAATATACGTCAGGCCGAAGAATTGAGTCGACAATATAGGATCGAATTTTGCAGTTCAACATTTTATTTTTCAGAAAATGACAAATAAAATTGCACGGTGATGTTGAATAACGACCGCTGGATTTCTAATGAAAAATCTCACAAACTTTTATTATTACCGTAACAGAGATATTTTTATAAATTTTGCCATCATATTTTTTTCATGAAACTGTAGATTTTTTTAAATAAACTTAAAACTTATAACTTTTTAAAATATAAAGTAAATCTTTATTTATCCTTTTTATTTATTTTTTAAAACTATTTATTTGTTTTCTGATTTATAAAATATTGTCGTTCGCAAATTGTTTAAGCATTGTTTAAGACAGCTATTGTCATTATCCGACCGAACGAAAATAAATTTGAACGTGTCGGAATATTGCTGTAAGACGAAACAAAAGATAAACGAAACAAAGCCGATTGAACATATTTATTTGAACATGGAAGTTCAGCCTTTGTCCTCGTGTCTGGTGCCTATGGTTTCTACCTTTTGAAATTGAACGCGACTGGTTTCCCACTTCGAACGGAAACGAATGTACAATGACTCCTTCAAATACATATGTCCCCGTCGTATCCATGCGAAACCGTTGTACCCGGTTTTTCATTTCGCGAGCTATTCAATCTTTAAGTATGCATATCGTATTGATTCCCAATACAGGTGCGTGTCGCGGTTAAAACTGCCCTGAAAGCAAAATAAAGATCCGTTTGCATTGACATATCTATTTTTACCGCAGAGCTTTCGTCCGGCACGATCTGGTCACCATTGCCTCGAACCAGGGAACGAGAAAAGAACGCGCGTTGTTCTTGTTCTCCGATCTACTCGTCATCACCAGCATCAAAAGGAGAAGCGGAACCATCAAGAAACCGTCGACGTGAGTTCCAATAAGCTTCTCGAAGCTGCGCAGAAATTCTACAGTAGAGTTTACGCATATTTTAGCGTTTCTTTATATTTTATTACAATTTTTATCGAAAATCGCAAACACGATCTTTCTCTGTACTCGACAATCCCGAATTCGTAGGAGTTCCTGTCCGAACAGTTTGGTCGGCCTACTGGAAGCAAACAAGTACAAAATGTTAATGAGAATACCGCTGGACGACCTAGAAGTTATGAAAGGTATTTCTTGAAACTCGTTTAATATTCTCTTTGGCCCACGTTTTACTCTGTCATCGAAATTCTAATAAATTGCTTTCATTCGACAGCCAAAGATGAAAATTTGAGGCGAATGGCAAGGGAGGTGGACTACCTTCGAGAAGACTGCACCACGTTGGTACAGCTTCAGGAACTCGCGTCAACGTTGCACGGTGCAAAGCAACAACTCGAGGATCTTATCAAGGACATGCTTGTGCAAGCGCAACGTCAATTAGCCGAGAGGAATGCGGCGCATTCGCAATTGGCCTGTTTAGAATTAACGCTTAATACTCAGTGAGTAATCATTTATTATCGCATACTGATTACAAAATTTTCTCGAATTGCGTTTCGTAATTTGCAATATATGTTAACTCCATTCAATTTTCTCCTTGTCTCAAAGTCGTGCAATTAACACTTCCACGACCGCGCTAGAGACCTCGAAAATTGTCATAAAATTAAAATATTTCATTCTATTGAACGAAAATTACTAAGCAAACTTATACGGCATCAATTACTTCTTCAGCATTCGTACCTCATGCAAATCTTAATAAAATTAAGCAATCAGTTTTAATTTTTCATTGATCATCCATTCGGTCGTCAATCGACTAAATTTAAAACGAGGAGATCTCCCCATTCGGTTGGCTAAGTGTTAATACCTCAAGTATTTACGAAAATCATTCAAACTCATCGTTCCCGGCATCGTTAATTTCAGGGCCGGGATCGAGAATATCTCCGTCATGTTCACGAAACCGGACAAGAGGGCCAGTTGGGAGGAGAGCTTCAACGAGGCCAAGCAAAAGTTAGGTGAGTAATGTCAACATTCCCAGCGGATGATCAACAGTCTGACCTCTTTCGATGCCTTCATTTGCAGCGTTGTCCGCCGATAGGAGACCCTGCCCCGAGTTTGTGGGTCCTCTGCCAATTAGGAAGACTAGGGCCGGCTTGCAGTTCACTTGTGCTGCGCCCACCTTGACCAACGGTCAGGTTTCTCGGGATGTCTGGGTGTGCAACAGCGACGGCTTCGTCGGCCAGGTGTGCGNAAATTAAGCAATCAGTTTTAATTTTTCATTGATCATCCATTCGGTCGTCAATCGACTAAATTTAAAACGAGGAGATCTCCCCATTCGGTTGGCTAAGTGTTAATACCTCAAGTATTTACGAAAATCATTCAAACTCATCGTTCCCGGCATCGTTAATTTCAGGGCCGGGATCGAGAATATCTCCGTCATGTTCACGAAACCGGACAAGAGGGCCAGTTGGGAGGAGAGCTTCAACGAGGCCAAGCAAAAGTTAGGTGAGTAATGTCAACATTCCCAGCGGATGATCAACAGTCTGACCTCTTTCGATGCCTTCATTTGCAGCGTTGTCCGCCGATAGGAGACCCTGCCCCGAGTTTGTGGGTCCTCTGCCAATTAGGAAGACTAGGGCCGGCTTGCAGTTCACTTGTGCTGCGCCCACCTTGACCAACGGTCAGGTTTCTCGGGATGTCTGGGTGTGCAACAGCGACGGCTTCGTCGGCCAGGTGTGCGTGTTGAGCTTGATGCCGGAACCGCCGCATGTCACCTCTTGCAACGGTGTTTGCAACTCTAGGATCCTGTGCGTAGCGGGAATCCCGGCGTGTACACAAAGGTACCTTATCCCCTTTTTAATGAAGTATTTACAGTGGATCGAGGTTCTCGTGGCCTGCATACTCACCGTTAGCGATTGAGTACACCCGCTGTCAGGGGAAATATCTTCAATGACCACGATCTTAAGCACCGACCTTCGCAGCGTTAACAACCTCTGCTGTGCCGTTTAGGCTGGTCCGCATTTGTTCGATCATTTTCGGACAGCGTCGCGATATCGTCGTTTCATTGTATTTGAATAATTCTAGGTCTAACAAGAAAATGTTTGTACTCGTATACTTATATTAACCTTTTAGGTACGGCTGAATTCGGCGCGAGGCTATTTCTCTGGACGGCAGAGTCTGATATGTACTGTACAGGGTCTGATACTGTATATTCTGTCTGTATATACAGGATGTCCCAAAAATGTCTCGCAATCCGAAAGTGGCGGGTTCCTCAGGTCATTTGAAGCAACTTTTTCCTTTACAAAAATGTTCTCCGAGGCACCGTTAATGAGTTATTAAAGAAAAACGGTGACGATCGAGCCAATGAGCGGAACTGGGCTTCGTGCGCTGGTTGGCTGGGCCGCCTCGCGTCAGCCGTACTCGATTTTTATTGGTCACTGTTTTTCGTTAATAACTCGTTAACGGCGCCTCGGAGAAAATTTTTGTAAATGAAGAAGTTGCTTCAAATGATCCGAGAAACCCGCCATTTCCGGATGGCGAGATATTTTTGGGACACCCTGTAGACTGTTGTAAATCGATGTGAAGACAAAAAAAGTGTGAAACAATGCATATGAAGACGATTATTTGGTTCAAACGATGAGCGAGTGAGCTACTAGAGCAAGCCACTATAGTGGCGCGTCGTCCAGAGAGATGACATCCGCGAAAGCCACTATAGTGGCGTGTCGTTCTGAAAGATGACATCCGCGAAAGTCACTATAGTGGCGCGTCGTGCCTAAAAGGTTAATTGTGCTAAATGTACTGTATTCATATAACTGTATTGACATTGCGATTTATAACTGATCATGTTTCATCGTAGGATATCGTTTAAATGCATTTTCTGGCATGCGTCGCTGCAAATTTTCTTTTACATTGGTCGCATATGAAACGCATCTTTTCATTTTTCATCTAACACTTTCGCAATTATTTCAATAAGCTGGCATTTGCGATAAAATCGTGTAGGTGCAATTCAGAACAGTGTCAGTTCTCGAACTTGTGCAATGTGCTGAAATCTAAAAAAAGGTTATTTAGGAGGGTGACCGTGACAACGTATGTAAAGATCGGGGTCACTGAAGATGGGTCTCCTAAGCAGCATTTTTGAACTAGTCCGCTTTTAGAAGTCATCGAAATGTAACGCTTTGCTCGTATGCCGTATAGGCGGGTAGAAAGAATCTCTACTTTACTTGTATTGTATTTTAGATCGAATTCATGCGTGACTAACAACTCTTCGTACGCGAACAGTAAGAGCAGCATAAGCATATCGGTCCAGGATGTCGATGCCAGTGGCGGGAACATACACTTAGATAGGTAATATTTTTGACATTAAATCGAATTCCGTGATTCAGTGGACAATATCGTGCAACGAAAACGCGATCTGTCGAGAAACAGTAGCAGTCGAATGAAAATTATTCCAAACTTTCGAACGATAATAGTTACTCATCGATTCCTTGTTTCGTAGGGTGACTCGCCTAACCTAGCACCCTTGTGTTGCTGGGACAGAAAAACAACAGTGTGTAATCGATGAAAACTGTGAAATCATTGCACCTTTCGTTCTGTCAATTAAATATCGTACAATGTTGAACAGAGAATCGTTGGACTGTAAGAAATATAAAAGAATAATCCGCGATGTTATAGTGAAAAGAGATCTTTTTACTCGTTACGGTATAGATAGTTCCAAACTCCATGAATGTGATGTTGATCCACACATTTATCGCCAGTTTCCAAACGTAGACACTGTCGATTTTGAAAGTATAAGTTAACGATTATTTGATGTAGAACAAATTGAGTTAGGTGAATCACCCTGTACAATATTGTAGTTTTATTTGCATCTAGAATTTATTATCATCGATTGATAATCTAATAAAATCGTTTTACAACAGCTCGAGCTCCGAGGACTCAGACTCGGACGACATTCCATGTGCAGATACGGGTAGCCTGACCTTGGGTGGCGATGTTCCAAGTATTGATAGTTCGACAACGGAAGAGGAGACCAATCAACCCACGATGTGGCTGGGAATGGAAGACGGATGCATACACGTTTACAATTGCAACGACAACATCAGAATCAAGAAGAACAAAGTGAAGCTCCAGCATAATAGCAGCGTGCATAGCATCATGTAAGATCCTTTATCAATCGTCTGTTCGATTATTATTGGTCACATATTTCTGACAATTGTCAGCAACTTGTTTTCAATAGCAACACTTATTTTGTTAAATCTACTCCTAGATACTTGGACAATAAAGTGTTCGTGTCGCTGGCTAATGGAGACATCACCGTCTACATTCGAGATCATTGTAAGTGCTCAATAATTTTCAATAATTTATAGAGTTTTGTTTTACTGGCTGATAAACATGCTGTTTAAAGGAACTACTTTCAATGCAGGTGGTGCATTATTTACATAAATATTATTTTAACCGAATTATTTGATTAAATGTTATTCAGCAAAAGATCCAATTAACAAGATTGTAAATTTCTAGTGGGTGGTTGGAACACACCAGTCCCAACAACCATAATGGTAGGAACGGCAGCGACTCCCATCACAAGAATGCTTTCGGTGTCTGGTAAACTTTGGTGCGGCTGTCGCAACACTGTGAAAATCCTGAACACCCAGACGTACGACGTCGAACACAGTTTCGCCGTCAGCAATGACTCGTCCACGTCGGTTTCCTGTATGGCGAGTTCCGGTGGTCTTGGAGTTTGGATTTCTTTGCACAACAGCGCCGTTTTGCGACTGTTCCATTCTACCAGCTATGAATGCTTGACGGACATCAACATAGCTCCGGCTGTTACCAAAATGCTTACCAGTAAGTCTTTACCTGGATACGGAAGCTTTTAAAAAATAATTTTGAAAGAGACGTGCTACAGAGGCGACTCATTGATTTACAATTGAAATTGTTAGATTTATTCATGAGTCCTTAGCTATGAATACTTTTAAAAACTGTGGACCAGATGATGCGTGTCTCGAATATTTATTCTACGCGTTCCAAATTATGCGAATTCAAAGACGAACTTCTTGATACAAACGTCCATTTAAACATTCGTTTACTAACTAATGTAAGGAATAATAGTGCACACATTCCTGTACAAAGAGGGCTTTGTAATTGCTTCATAGACGTTACCAGTGTCTTTTCACACACGAACTGAGACAAATCTTCATGTGCTGTCTATGGTATTTATTTTAACGGAAGCTTTAAACTTGCTGCAGGTTGCGATGACATAATACGACAGCACAAGGCTGCCTGTCTTCGAGTTACCGCACTTTTGGCTTGCAACGAGTTGCTTTGGATCGGTACAAGCGCCGGTGTTCTCCTAACCGTGCCAATTCCCCATATAAAGCCATCCACTCAGAGGATGTCACAGCCGCCAATTGTAACTGGTGAGTATTGACGTCAGATTTAATCGTCTATAAACAAGCATCGTTATTGCTTTCGTTATAATTAGAAGCTGGCTAGACTCGACCGATTTTCGCGAAGTGTCAGTTCCGACACCACAAAGCTACAGGTACGATCAATCATTCGTGAAATTTTTGGATCCGTCCGCGTATTTCTGTTGCGATAACGCGTATTTATAAAATCCTCTCTAGCAGAAATCATATAAATCATTGGAGACAGTATTACTCTTGACATCGGAGCTCGTATCCATTTATATTGGATGCGAACAGATCTATGTTCCTGAGAAAATTGATCTTCTTCGAAGTTTCAATTTGAACAACTACTATTGAGTATAAAAATATACTGAAAAGAAACCTGGATACAAAGTCAATGTTTGTATGTAGATCCTGCCTTTGAAAATAATCGCTATCAAGGATCACTGATTAATTCATTGTTCTTTACGAACTTAGCGGGCTAGAAAATTTCAAGAATTATTCTATCGATGTACACATCAATAGAGTACTTTCTTTCTCAGGCATTCCCCATGGGCACACTGGGCACGTGCGTTTCCTCACGTGCGTGGAAACATTGACACCATCGAAACCGGATCCACGTCCGAAAGTGAACAGATACTCCCTAAAATCCAATAAGAATCAACAAAACAACATCAATCGCGGGAAACTCCTGGTGATATCAGGCGGCGATGGCTACGAGGATTTCAGAGGACCTCAAGCTTCCGCTGAGCCGCAGGCTGGTCGTGAAGACTCGACCAATCATCTGCTGCTTTGGAAAGTGTGATGTGATCTAGAACGACCCTCGGTAATTGAAAATAATTCTACTGTTATTCGAACACGTATAGATATTTAAAATCCCTTACTAAATTGAGCGTACACATGCTACTCAAAATTGTATTGTTTAATTGTTGACAAGAGACAAAGAGTTTCTTGACAAGCGAATTTTTCTGTACGCTACACACAGTTTTAACAAACAATTAAGTATTTTAAAAAACAAAAGATGTAGTAGATTTCAGAATCACAAAACATTTCAAATGCTTTCATCTGTGTATATATAAAAAATGATATGAAATATGTAAATTACGGAATCGAAAAAGTATTTTGATGGTACAGGAATATTCAGAAGACTCTCCTGAATCTATGTCATGTAACAAAAGTTTATTTATTATTGCGAATATCGAGGACAGATGATTCTTTCTCCATAAGAAACCGTGTTAAAAACGAAACGAATCGTCTGCTTCTGAAAATGTTGAAATAGCGCCATTAATCGTAGTGGCAAAACGCTTAAACCGTTAGCCAAATTACCGACGCAATGTTTGCACGTTGATGATAGATGGCGCCACCTAACTTTCTTTCCCGAAAAGAACCGATCGTCGGTACATTGTTTACAAGTTTCAACGTTTTGCCGCTACATCCAGTGGCACTGTTTCGAGCAGATGATTCGTGCCGTTTTTAACACATTCTCTTGTGGAAAAAGCAGCATGAATCATCCATCCTCAATATTTACGAATGTAAATAAAACTTTTGTTGGACACGATATAGATGCAGGATAGTCTCCTGAATATTTCTATACTGTCAAAATTCTACATACTTGCAGCAATAAATAGACTTTCATGCTACAATAGAAATGGAGAAAATTCCCCTGAACACATTTCATTAATCTTAAAACATTCTCTTAACTCTGGACGTACTTTACAATTACAATTAAGTGATAGAATCCAATCAAACGAGACCTTTCAACTTAAACAATAGTTCTTCCGTTCTCGTTACGAAAATTCTCGGGATTAATAATCGCGAAATTTTTGGATTCCGCAGGCAAGGGTCGCAGTTCACGCACGTCGGCATGACACGCCGTGGGAATCGTTGTCACGTGTGCACTCGACACGTGGTCGGGTCCGAGATCGTCCGATCGTGGCTGTTCAGGACGTATTCGCTCGACGGTTTTTCAGGGAACGCGGGAAGGTTCTCTGGCTCGTTTTGGCCGAGTCGATCAAGAGCAGAATGTGGGAGGTTCGTTGTTTGCAAGGTGCCAAGAGGAACGGGTTCCGCAGCGTGACGGGACCCGAGTAGGCGATTTTTCACCAGTTACCTTCGACGCTGACGTAATTCACGATCAGACTTCGAGACCGGGTGATCTGTTTGACAGTTGTTGAAACGTTTTAGACAGAGACGCGGACAGTACTGTGTAAACGATTTGCTGAAATCAGCGGAGGGACTCTGAAATTGACTACGTAGATCGCTCAGCACAATCATTTGACTAACGCGGGGCTTCAGGAAATCGTTTAGCAGAAGATTTGTATTTTTGCACCGGATCCAGAAATAATTTTTGCGAATTTGTCACGCGATCGTGTTTACTATCGATGTATTTTACTGTTCGTTAAAGAGGAATGCGAGATAGATAGGACTACGCGTGTACCCGTTCGGAGAACAGTAATTGGGATAGATGGCGTAATGAGGTACGGTACCTGGGAGAGCGTTGAATCGAGCTTATTATACAACCGACACAGGCCTAACCTAGACACTAAAAAAGAGACTAATCCAATGAATTGTGCCAAAACGAATTTATCATTGTCCATCGATCGACGCTAAGCAAGAACTGACGTACTTCATTATTCGTTTTCTTAACCGACATCAAACTGAATGTGTTCGTGTTGAACGTGATGGAACTGGTCCAGACTTCGGACATCGGGTGCGAGTAATCTTTTGAAATTCAAATATCTCTAGATACAACTGTTACCTTGTTGTTGGTCGGGAGTTTAAATTAATCTGTTCCCCCGCGTGTGAACACGAGAGGGAAATAACAGGAAAATAACATTCGTCGAACGGAAATAACAGTGATTACGTATTTAGCGAAATTTTTGTCCGCCTTACGCAAAAAAAAGAAAAATAAATGAACAAATGTTGTCGCAAGTGAAAAAGAAACGCAGATCTAATGGAAAAGTAATTTCAGAGTCGTGAGATATTTTTATTCGGACGAAGAATATTCCTTGAAGCTTCGCTGCGATAATTACTTCGGAGAAATCAGGTCGAATTGATTGTGGGCTGCATCGAGGGCTGCGAAATTCGCGAGGCCACTTTGTATAGTTTCCCCTGGTCAAAGTGTACTTTTCGTTAAGTCTTTAAGCTCTTTACACCTACCGCGCGGTTTATTCGCTTAAACGTATAGGCGACTCGTATACTTTTCTACAAAGTTCCAACGATCCACGGAAATATCAACTATGTTATTAACATACAGCGTATTTGACAATAATTAATTGATATCGATTGTTCGAGTGATCCTACGCGAGACAAATGTATCGATGACGTCAACCAAAGCCGACGAATTTTGGTTTTCGCGTATCGTCACGCTAAAGATCGTCGTTTAGAGTCGCGGAATACGGGCGTTCTTCAGCTTGGAACACTTCGTCCTAAAGATTGTTGTTGCAAAGATTTAATTGTCCTCCTTTTCAAGATACCACCTTTCGCCGAAGAAAGGTCTCAACTTCGTTGCTGTTGTAATATTGGGATCACTGATTCGAACACCGCAAGGTTAAACAAATTCCGATTTTAAACTGGCTGTGCATTCTTTCCAACTTGTGCAACTTGTCAAAAAAAAACAAATACGGTTGTATTTAACTTTAGTTTTTGCATGTTACACAGACAATGTGATTCTGAAAAACATTTAATTTCAGTTGTAGCAATTGCGATCCCTGGATTTTGTGCAATACATGTATTTGTAATTGGATCATAAATGGAAAAAAAATGAGACAATTGAAAATGCGAGAAAAATTGGCTAAAATAAAATTCTTTGTCGTGTATGCAAGAATAGGTAAATTACATCTGCAAGGTAAAGAGAGCAAATGACAGATAATATGCTGAGAGCATATAATATACCGAATGGGAACAAGTGCTTGTTAGTGATCTTCGAATTGAGCTTCATATCGAGCTTGCTGTGGCTACAAGTGAAAAATGACTTAATGTATCATATGTATATTTGTAATTATGAGAAACATCATTTTGAATGTAATTCCTTTCAAAATCAATATCAGCTGTCAATAGTCTTAAATGTTACTTAAACGTTGACAAATTCTAGACAGCGTGATTGTCTGCTTCTAGAAGATATCACTTTCGTTAGGAACACATAGTATGTTCTATCTATGAAATATTTTATGTGATAAATTTAAGTCTTCGACGCATTGGTAACGGAAGATACCAACCTTAAAGAACCAGAATTTAAAAAAAAATGTCAAATCTGTTCTCGAGTCTTCCTTGTTTCGTTACGTACACTTCAGCGATGGCGAATTAGGAAGAATTATTTTTATCGATTAGCTTCGCCTGTCATTATACCTCTCTACCGTTCGCTAATATGGAGCCACATCTTTTTCGTCTCTCAAACAAACCAAAAGTTCCCGCAACACGAAAATTAACAGTCGGATCGCATGACTTGCAGCGGAACGACTGCCCTCTCTAAAAAAAAAAAGAAAGAAGTGATTACAATTATTGACCCCAATATTATAACTTCTCACCAAGTAGAATACAGCGTACCTTGTCACTTCACAACTCTCGTATGTTAATCAGCGCTTCTTATTTCAGAAAACGGAGAACATTGATATTCATCGCGAAGTTTTTTGAAACATTGTACAAACCCGTTACCTAATTATAAACACATACACGGAAACAGTGATAAAAAGGCAGTCCAAATACACTAAACTAAGGGTCGCATCGTTTTACTGATAGAGCCGGTGTCGCTTCGTTTACGCACGTTTCAAGACTGAAAACGGGATCTCGGAAAACGACACGGAAAACAATGTCGTACGCGTGGAACGTCGTACGACCACAATAAACTCGATAGCTTTTGGTACACGATATTCTGATTCTAGATAGAAATTACAATTCCCATTATCGACTGGCTCAAACTGAAAAACGATCGCCGCTTAAATCGCTCCTCAAAAATAGTTTAAGACCTTTTCGATGTATTTTTCCTTGCACCTGTACGTGTGATGATCGCTTTCCACGAGCCTGCTGCACGAGTCGGTCGCGTAGCTCTCCGATTATTATCATTGCAATTCGCACCACTTGGGACTGCGATCGAACTGGTAACAAGTCGTACGAATCGTTCGAACAGAGCGTACAATATCGCAGGAAAATTTACCAGCCGTGTACAGGTTTCGTATAGAGTATATTTATCGGTGTAATTCCCATTATCTTGCAAGATGTTATGCGATTCGTGGAGAGAAGCCAAGAACCATTGAGAATGAAGATCCAATGACGAACTCTGCCTTCGATGCTTGTCTTTCAAACGAATGTTAGATTTGCTCTACCGGCACGTGTAATTGCGTTTTGTTGATGCATGGCTCTGTGTGTGCGCGTGATGTGTACAACTAAAAGAGAATCGAAGCGCGAGGATACACGATCGACAATGGTCAGAAGCAGAGCTTGCGTGTGAATCTTGCGTGTGGATTTCCCTTCGGTTGTCTCTGTTCGTCCAGGAATTGGTCGAAACACTTGTTTAGGGAAACGTTGCTTCGCCGACGAACGTGGCCAGGTGTGGAAAGCAGATAAACAAGAAATAATATTATTTATTATAGCAACGTAAGGTATGCGGAAGTACACACGCCAGCTGTATCGCGATTGATACTGTATGAATGCATCTGTGGTATTTCTAGTGTGCAATAAGAACGGTGTCATGTGTACAGCAACGATCGCGCTCGTAAGTTATTGTTAATGTTATTAATGATAACTAGAGGGCGAAACACGCAACTGCGGAGAAATATATTTGTATTATATGTATTCGTTCCTTCCTATTGGTGTCGTTATTTCATTATCCTGGTCATTTGCGCGACGAGTCAATTATCGTACGACAGTTCTTATCTCATCAAGTATTGGTCGAATAAAAATCAATCCTACATACGCACCAAGCATTTTTGTCGTCTGTTCAACACCCTAGGGATTAAGCTGTCCCAATTATTTGCTAACGATTGCATAGCCCGTCGTATTTATTTTGTGTACACGATGCAGTCACTGGAAACCAATGTAATTCTATCATGTCGTAAAGATGCGAGAGAATGTCGAAAGAAAAGAATATTTGCTTCGGAAAGGCAATTATTGAGCCTGAGAAGGAATATTACTGCAGGATATTGGATTATCAAATCCACGGTATTTAATTTTTATTTTAGAAGCAAATTGAAAAATAATTGCTTCGAAGTGGAAATTACTGAGACTGAAAAGGAATATTACTGCAGGACATAGGACTACCAAATCCACGGTATTCAATTTTTATTTCAAAAGCAAACTGAAGTATATTTGCTTCGAAGTGGCAATTATTGAGACTGAGAAGGAATATTACTGCAGGATATAGGATTATCAATTCCACGATATTCAATTTTTATTTTAGAAGCAAATTGAAAAATAATTGCTTCGAAGTGGCAATTATTGAGACTGAAAAGGAATATTATTGCAGGATATAGGATTATCAAATCCACGGTATTCAATTTTTATTTTAAAAGCAAATTGAAAAATATTTGCTTCAAAGTGGCAATTATTGAGACTGAAAAGGAATATTATTGCAGGATATAGGATTATCAAATCCACGATATTCAATTTTTATTTTAAAAGCAAATTGAAAAATATTTGCTTCGAAGTGGCAATTATTGAGACTGAAAAGGAATATTACTGCAGGACATAGGACTACCAAATCCACGGTATTCAATTTTTATTTCAAAAGCAAACTGAAGTATATTTGCTTCGAAGTGGCAATTATTGAGACTGAGAAGGAATATTACTGCAGGATATAGGATTATCAATTCCACGATATTCAATTTTTATTTTAGAAGCAAATTGAAAAATAATTGCTTCGAAGTGGCAATTATTGAGACTGAAAAGGAATATTATTGCAGGATATAGGATTATCAAATCCACGGTATTCAATTTTTATTTTAAAAGCAAATTGAAAAATATTTGCTTCAAAGTGGCAATTATTGAGACTGAAAAGGAATATTATTGCAGGATATAGGATTATCAAATCCACGATATTCAATTTTTATTTTAGAAGCAAATTGAAAAATATTTGCTTCGAAGTGGCAATTATTGAGACTGAAAAGGAATATTACTGCAGAACATAGGACTACCAAATCCACGGTATTCAATTTTTATTTTAAAAGCAAATTGAAAAATATTTGCTTCGAAGTGGAAATTATTGAGACTTAGAAGGAATATTACAGCAGGATATAGGACTATCGAATCCACAGTATTCAATTTTTATTTTAAAAGCAGATTGAAAAATATTTGCTTCGAAGTGGAAATTATTGAGTCTGAGAAGGAATATTACAGCAGGATATAGGACTATCGAACCACGGTATTAAATTTTTAATTGAAAAGCAAACTGACTGTTAGAATCAATTACGAGTATATTTTGCAGAGAAAATTAATACAGTTGAAACAAAATGAACGTATTTCCGTTTTATTGGTATTTTCTTACAAACACAGTAGAAGATCGTAAAATATACATGACTATGAATTTTACCGGCAGATATATGTGTATAATACACGCATAAGTAAATTCTGACGCGAGAAATTGTGTACGTGCATCCCCCTTAAAATCTACACGAGAAAGTACATTGTACGATTAAATACGCTTCAACATTCAATACTTTGGTAAATATCCGCTTTGTGCTCACGTTTCTGTTCGTTTGCTCGCTTGCATTATTTTATTGACTAGACATACATTTATACTTAGACGAATGTTACAGAAGTACAATGTATCGAATCTTGTAAAGCGGTGCTTTCACTTCGATTTGTTTCCGATTGAAATATAATAATTTGGTGCGTCGATTTTATACATCCTTAAATTAATTTTGATAATCAAGAACTGCGGATTCTAGGTGTGTGTGCGTTTACAATAGATACAGCCGAATGGAAACAATAAATTAGTAGCTTCGATCGCGTTCAACGTGTTACCAACACACGCAACGCAAATGTTCTTTACCCGACAAGATTATTAAAACGTATTAACTGGTTATGGCATTACATGAATCTGTAGAAGTATCAATTTCCATAAACATCCGCAGTCTACCGTTAACGCTCGTATAATTTCACCGAAATAAACGACACTCGTCCTCACTTGCAAATCGCAAACGAGTAGAGTCTTCCTCATTCTCCAATTAACAAGCAATGCATGTCCGTTAAAATGGAACTCGCAAGATGTGTACGTGTTAACAATTTTCTGGAATAACATCGACCGCTGGAATAATCATAAACTGTATGGAATCCTAATTTGTCAAATATTTTCAGTTGTTCCGGTCGAAGTTACAATGGAAAGAAACTGACAATGATGTGAACATTATCGTGTTGCCAACCGAACAAGCGAATATATAGCATTATGCCAAACGGCGATGGTATAAAATAAACTAAACAAAATCGAACATTAAAAAATATACAATAAGCAATTGTTAAGTAACAATAACAATAGAGATATTCGAATCGAATAACAATTACTCGAATTAACACGTTGAATGCCACGCCGGTTTTACAGAAATTGTCCGTGGCGCCACGAGGAATTTTCTTTTATGCGATACATATAATGTTGAAATATTATCTGCAATAGATAAGTTACAGTGTATAACCATGTTTGACATGTTAATTGCGACAGGGGTCACTGTTTGAGTTGACGATGGTAATAATACAAAATTTTAGATATTGACATTTGTTTTAAATTATATATATTTCTATCAATTTGGGCGCGCCGGTCACCGGTGGCCCCCACGGCGTCACCGCCAAGTTAAGTGCCGGTCACCGGTGACCCCCGTGGCATTCAACGTGTTAATAATAGCCGTCGAATCTATGCAATAGGTTAATCTTAACGCTAAGATATCCGAGGTCCAAAATCATAACTCTCGAAAAAAATGGCGTGGGATAATCCTCGCTGTTAAATCCCTTTGAGTCATTTATGTTCCCATTGATCGTCACTCGCACGGTTGGCAAAGGATCGCTATCATCCACGACACATAGAAAACATGACAACGCAGAAATTCTAAGCAGTATGAAAACAAAACCCGATGTAAATTGTACACGAAATATCAGCGAGGTATCGTTCTCCGACATACACATTTGTTCTTCGACGACTCAACGTGGGATCTCAAAGTTCCGCCAAAGAAAAAGAGAGATTCCAGAGCTGATCGCGAACACCTTTGTCTACACAGTCTCCAAATTCGAAACCGTGAAGTGCTCGTCGCCGCGTTCGAGTGCGATCATCGAGTTCTCGAACGCTTTTAATTAATCTTGACAATCGTACGAATCGAGTCAATGTTTCATTGCGTGATCCATCGGTTTACGCGAAGATCCTCCGAAGATCCGAAGTCTTCGAGGAGTGGCTCAAACGTTGGTAACGTTGTCACTCTCGACTCGTTTCCGGAAGATCGTTCGCAGAAACCTGCCTCAAACGGACACCGCCACTAAGGGTGGATCGTGCATTTCGCTGACAGGCGTGGAAGGCGCCTCGGTGATCGGTGTCGATACATCACCGCTGCTCCCGTGATGATCTGTAGTTCCTGTCGAGCCAACAGATTCGATTAAGGTGGGATCTCCTTTAACAAACCAATAATTATCTTCAAAATCGAACGTACAATCCTGTCATACTTAAGAGAAGCAACCCGAAGCGACCGGTTATCGAACAATGATCCGGAACGTGTCGAGAACGATCTGACACAGAAATTCTTCGTCTCGCGGTTAGCATCGACGAGACAAATTAACCAGTTAGCCGTGTTTGACGAGTATACTCGTCATGGAGAAGTGACAGTATTTTGTGTCATGATGAGTGTACAGTGACCATTGGCTATTTAAATTGTAATTTTAGTGAAAACAAAAACATATTCTCCAATTTCAAGACTTAGAAAAAATATTTAGAATATTTTCTTTATTACTTTAGAATATATTTTCAGGCGAATCTCGCACGAAGGTGTTTACATTGTTATGAAAATAAGATTAGGAAAGAATCACGATATTGGTGTTCGACGTGCAAAGTGCTAATATACAGGATGTCCCAAAAATGTCTCGCAATCAGAAAGTGGCGGGCTTCTCAGCTCGTTTGAAGCAACTTCTTCCTTTACAACAATGTTCTCCGAGGCACCGTTAACGAGTTATTAACGAAAAACAGATAATATTAAGAATCGAGAG